AGTAAAAGTATGCAGTCCACTGCATACATCCCACTTCGGCGCAACACTTCCGTGTCTGCAACTCTGGCGCTCCAGCCGATCCGCAAAATTCGTCGCAGACACTGCTGATGGAACCGCTCGAGATATCGCACATCCCGACGGTACATCGTCCACGTTTCACTGCCGTATAGAACAACGGACAGTACCATGGATTTGTACACCATCAGCTTCGTGCCAATGGTAAGTTGATGGTTGTTCCACACTCGGTACTCAAGCTTCCCGAATGCCGCTGCCGCCTTCGACACGCGATTACGCAACTCAAGGTGTAGCTGCTGATCAGTCGACATCCAACTCCCAAGGTAGCAGAAGCGGGAGGTGGTTTCCAATACTTCAGCACCAATGCTGATTTGCGGCAACATTGAAGATTGCACCTCCGGTGAAGGCTGAAAGAGACAGACAGTTTTGCTTGTGTTGATGGTGAGTCTGAATTTGGCCGCTGTCGAAGCCAGAGCACTAGTCATGTGCTGCAACTCATCCGCGCTGTGTGAAAACAACGCACAGTCGTCAGCAAACAACAACGTACGAATGGTTATCTCACACGTCAAGGCTCTCACCCAAAAAGACGGATGCCCAGCAACCCACCATCAATGCAGTGCTCCACACGGACACCATAAGCACAAGCAGCATCAAAAGCAAAAGGCAGCATTGGGTGAAGAGAAATATTAAACATGGCAGGAGATAATACGCAGCCTTGCTTCACACCAGAGACAACAGTAAAGTCATCTGAGGATGGTCCACTCAGCTGCACCCACGTCCGCATAACAATGTGCAGACATTCAAATAAGCTAACAAACTTACTCGGACGTTGAAATTTACCCAAAACCAGTCACAATGCCTCGCGGTTTACCGTGTCAAATGCCTTAGTGAAGTCGACAAACAGCGAGTACAATGGCTGATGTCACTCTCGGCATTTCCTGCAACTGACGAGCCGGGAACACCATATCTATGGTGCTGCGGCCTCAGCGGAATCTACAGTGCTCATCCGCCATGTTCAGTTCAAGGACCTGATTGACGAGGCAGTTGAGCAGGATTTGGGCGATCACTTTCCCCACACAACTCAGCAAGTTGATGCCACGATAATTCGTGCAACAACGATTACTCCCTTTGCCTTTGTACAGTGATAGCACTAGGACATTCTTCAGTTCAGGAGGCACCTCATTCCCAATCCATACGCGGTGCACTAAGTGGTTTAATGCAGTCACCAACGAGGGTCCGCCGTGTTTCAATACTTCAGGCGGAATCCCGTCGGCCCCGGCGCACTTGCCGTTTCGCAGCTGAACAAGTGCTCTCTGCCTCTCATCCGGTGTCAACGTGTCCGTCAGACTCACCTCTACATCGTTCTGCTTCAGGCCGTTCAAATTAGACCGGTCGATTCTTGAACAGTTGTTCAAGAGATAGTCAAAGTGTTTTCGCCAGATCTGCATTACGTCTGCAGTCTGTGTGCAGGTAGCGCCTGAACTACCATCGATCAGCGTCCTCAGCGGCTCCAATCTCGGTCCATACACCGCCTTCAAGGAGTCAAAGAATTCCTTGTGTTGACGGCGTTCGGCGTAGCATTCCATCTGCTTCGCCTACTCCGTCCACCATGCATTTTTTATGCGACGGAGCTCTCGGGTCAGTCGCCGTCGTAGTGTACGAAACTGACTCCTCTCCACCAATTCACTGGGGTCGGCGACATGTGCAGCAAATGCTGCATTCTTCTCATACACGAATGCGCCAATCGTCGCATTGTTCTCATCAAACCAATCAGGCCGCTTACAGTTTGCGCGCCCAATGGTCTTCTCGGCAGTAGCTGTCACCTGGTCGCGAATGTAGTGCCACAGGTCATCAACCGTGGCTATGCAGTCCACATCACACAGTCGTGTAGCCATGGCCATCTCCAGTTCAATACGTTTAGCCACAGTACCGAGGGACAGAACGTAAAATTTACGCCGACTCACGGCAGGAGTGCAGTACATAGATTTATGAAAATATATGTACAGTTTGCCTCGCATCAATTTGTGATCAGTGCCACACTCAGCTCCACGCAGTAAACATTTCATGCGCACTTCACGCCTATCACGCTGACGTACGATGATATAGTCGAGCAGGTGAGCGTGACCACTTCGTGGGTGCGTCCAAGTTGCTATATCACTCGCACTTAGTGTAAACCGAGCGTTCGTGATCGTCAGGTCGTGAGTGGCACACAGTGAGAGCAGCCTGTCACCATTCGCATTCGCTGAACCAATGCCATGCGCACCGATAACATCTGTCCACACCGATACATCACGCCTAACGTGCGCGTTGAAATCACCCAGCAGAAATAGTCGGTCGCTCCTCGGCACAGACCATACCACGGAGGATAGCTCAGTGTAGAACTGATCACGCGTGTCATCAGGATAACACATGGTCGGACCGTACGTGCTTATAAAATTAGCAAACTTACCTCTTCCGAATCGTACGCGAACAGTCATCAGACGCGCGCTGATGCCAGTTGGCGCACGCACCAGCTGTTTATTTAGGCGATCGGATATTGCAAATCCGACCCCATGTTCACGTGGTGCCGAGGCGGCGTTGCCCATCCAGTAGAATGTGTAACTAGCAGCTGCTTCATGCAACTTACCTTGCTCAGCGATCCGAGGCTCACTGAGTGCCACAATATCGATGTTGTAGCGCGAGGAGTGCAGTGAGTCGCTCGAGGCGCTCACTCGAGTTCCGGTCCAGTAGTGTGCGCACGTTCCAGCACCCGATGCTGAGTGCTTTGCGCGCAGGCATACGATGGAATTGGTGAGCAATCACACGCGATGTGACGGTTGTGTTTTGGAGGTTTCCTTGAGGGACTCCGCTCGGAACCTTTGGATCAATAGCCTGACCCACAAGGCAGTGGGGAACAGATCCAGATAGGGAATGTGATTGCAGAGACAGATTGGGATCTGCTTGACGGCCGTCACACGCAGCATTTGAGGTACTAAAACGATTCATACACGTATTGCGACAGTAGTAGGATACGCATCTACGATCACGGTCAGACGCAGGTGGGTTTTGGCGGGTTTGCACCAATTTGACCAGGGGCTGTCTGGCTTGAGGCGGGCAGTAGCAAACCATTGAATACCCTGAGGTGACCTCCAACCGTCAGAGACAATGTGTGGCGCTCGTGCCTTACGCCAATCGAGTTGTGAGTTTATAACGCGTAGACCTGTTGTCTCCCACGGCTAGGTTTTATGGGAAGAGAGTCATCGAGCACTTTCTAACCTCCGAAGAGGATGGACTAGGATACTGGAAGGGCGCCCACACCTGATAGGAGAACCACTCGGGTCCTCAGCCAAAGCCTTCGGTTGAATGTACACCCGAAAGGCAGCGGGTATAGCACATGGTCAGTTCAGTGACTCATGCGGATTGATGTCCTAGATCTTAGCAGAGAGGAGGGAGCAACGAAACTCTCACCCAACGGTCGCCACGAGGCGTCCAGGACGTGAGCCCATGGCACAACAGTAGCAGCAGTTGGTAGACGTTCTGTCAGGATATAGCCACCACCAGCCTCAGCGCCCCATAGGCTCTTCCGCCTATATATATTCCACACGGCCAATAGTACAATTGGCATAGTGCCACGATGTATAGTGAATACAACAAACATACGAAGGCAAAGGGGAAAAAAGGATGTTCATGGGAATAGCGAGTTACAACAAGTCCGTCATTGTGCACGATTTCTTGCCATATCAGAGAGCGTTTCCAGTCACGTGTGTCCCGGATCCTTCACACTCAAGCCAGGGAGGCGAGAGCGCCCGACGACGGCTAACTTTGACGTTAACTCCTTCATGCTCCTGGTCCAAGTCATACGTTGGACACCTTGCCTTTGCTTCCAGCTGATTTCTGCGTACGCGAAGAGGGCACGGCGAGGTAAGCGATCAGTAGGCATGCGGAGAACGTGCCCAAGCCACTGAAGTCGGCGCAGAGAAAGTATACTGCTCAGTGGCCGACAAAGTTTGTCTGATCTGAAAATCCTTCGTCGAATACCTTCATTTTTAGTATGATGTTGCCGGTGTACACTAGCAACGCTCTGAAGGCAGCGGTGATCAAAAACAGACAAGTTCTCAACATCCTTTGCGCGAACAGGCCAAGTCTCGCAGCCATAGAGGAGAAGCGTCCTCACAGTGGCATTGGAAACTCGGCCCTTCAGAGCTAGACTCAGATCATCTCGACGCCAGAGATGGCGGAGATTGGCAAAAGCAACCCGAGCACTGGAGACGCGCAGAGACCACATACGTTAAACCATTGGCGCTGACGCAGATTCCGAGGTATACGAACTTGTTCAGCACTTCCAATGAATGAGCTAAAGGATAAGATCAGGAGCAGGGCCTAGCCAGTCCTGCAAGAAAAGCTTGCATTTCGATGTTGAGGTCATTCCAAACTGGCAGACGGACATCTCCAACATACACAGGACATTTTAGATGACCTGAGAGGTAGTGTGGATTACAGCGATGTCGTCTGAATACTCCCAATCCCGAAGTCGGTCCCGTGGAAGCAGCTCGATGTCGCTGGGGCTTTAATCGACGGTGTACACTTCCGACTCACAAGCCGAACGCAAATAGAGAGATTGTGAGACAGCAGAATACCGCAGTTGTCGCACAAATGATAAGCCAGAAACTTGGGAACGCGGATGGTAAGAAAATGTTGAAGCATGCCATACACGAGAAACGCTTATCCAGTAAAATCAGACGCTCGCAGCACACTCAAAAGAACAAATGAAACAAGAACACCGAGTGTTGAACAACTAACGAAAAGTGCGAAGCAACCGTGGCCTGCCAGTAAGTCTCTCTGGTACGGAGCAATTTGCTGATACCGTTGCATTATTAACCTGATGAGTATGCTGTTCAGATGCTTTGGCTGGTCTAAATGGACTACACATAGCTGCAATCACTGAGTGACGGCAGTTAATGAGCAGAGCAGGTCGTGTCAAACAGAGCGCAAAAATGGCAACTCACCAGTTGCCATTGCTGTTTTCGGTGGGGATCCTTGATACTGGTGGTAAACTGTGTGAGCTGCGCAAGGACGCTTGAGAAATAAGTTAGCGAGCTATCATAGACTCCGAGCAGAGCCAACTGTCGAGCTTCTTTGATATTTTCCATTAGCTCTGGTAGGGTAATCATTGACAAGTATAAAAGAGAGCTGAAAAGAGAAAACTCATGGATCAGAATTGGCAGCCACAGTGAGACATATACACCTAAAGAAGAGCGAATGATAAATAAGGAAACGGGAAAGATGCACGATAAGTCGGTATACATCAGTTTAACAGCCATGATATGTGTACCGATGTAAAGTTGATGCAGTTGCAATGAACCTGATCAGCTCGCTTAAACAGCTATGGGCCCGGCACCGAAGTGCAGTGGATCCAGTTGCCACGACTCACATTACAACTTACGATACATTACAATAAGTAACAAGGGTAAAATAGTGAGATTAAGGGCAAATAGAACGTAAGGAAAATGGAAGCAAGAAGGGCGTTAAACTATTCAGAGTAAATTCGTCACATCTAGACTTACTCAGACAGCCGTCACACGCCCGGAAAAGCACTTTACGCGCGTTTCATCCTTTCGGGAATCGTCAGCAGTGCTCATTCCATCGGACCCTGGTAGGGGGGCTCGAACCCGCAACTCGACTGTTGCCAGTCCGTGGTTGAGACTACTGAGCTACGGGGGACGGCAACGACCATCGTGAATAAGTTACTAGATGTGATATAGCGCCGCTCACTATCCTAGTCTTGATGTGACAAATTTCCACCTATACCATTCAACTAACCCTAATCAGAATAAAACGAAAATTAACAAACCAGATGCAAGAAAGCGACTGTAAGGGCGCCACTGACAGCGCTGTTCGATAGAGTCTCCAATCATTGGCGTGGATCATCAGGAGGCCCAAATCCACGCACCAGCCTGATAAAGTCTCTCAGTCGGTTTCTTCATGCCTTTACGCCAAGTCGTCGAGCTCGCTGGTTCGCCCAACTTGAAGCAGCCACGGCGTATAATGCACACTGATGAAACTGGTAAAGGGACAAATGAAGGACACGGCCTAGCCAACTTAAGCGGTTAAGATTCAGCAAACACTCGAGTGGGGCACCAGAAGGCTTCTTGCCAAAATCCAACTGGCGAACCTCAGCATTGCCCACCCGGTGTTTCCACCAGACATGAGCAATACGCTGTAAGCATCTGTGGTCAAACAGGGCAAAGCGTTTAATGTCTTCGTCGCGAACTGGTCGTCTCTGATCCATATGGCGAGATCGGTCTTATTGCAGCGTTATACACCGTATCTTTCACCGACAGGCTGATATCCCGCCGTCTCCAGAAATGGCTATCTCTGGAAATCCACACGGACCTTGCTGGTACACGAAGTAACTTCCTTCGTGATGTGAGTACCAGATGTGACAGAAATGCCAAGGTAAGTGAACCGATACACCACTTCCAGTGGCTGTTCGGTGAAAGCTCGAACCAGAGGTGTCTGTCCAATCCTGCAGCTGTAACTTGTAATTTAAAGGTGAAAGCACATGCCGAAGCGAGTAGCACCACACGTCAGTCTAGCCAGTAGTGTTTGCGTCAGACCCAAGAAGCACCATGTCGTCCGCATACTCCAGGTTTGTCAGTCGGTCACCTGGCAAAACTTACACTCCGGTAGAGACAGAAAGAACGGAGTCATACATGATCATTACGGAAACAAATTTGAAGCGAGAAGATATAGGGCAACCCTGGCGAACTAAGGAGGATGTTGACCTTAGACCCACACTGCCTCCAGAGTTACGGTAGAGACTGCATAATGGAAATTTAGTCCGTAAGTCCTTCAGTGATAGTGCCACAAGCTGGTGCAGTCAAGAGAATAGAAGGCGGCTTTCAGTCAAGAAAACACCCATAGTCGGTCGCCTGTACGTTTGTCTCTGCTCTAATACTTAGTGGAGAGTATATATGTGGTCGATCTAACCCTGATCAGGGCGGAAGCCAGTTTGGCTATTAGTGATTCGGATCGCACGGGGACGAGTAAGTCGTCGGAGAAAGATACCCGTGAGAACTTTGGAGACGCATCGCAATGAGGCTGGACCTTAGTGTGGTGCGATGGTTTGTGTGCCTCTGCGATCCACTGAGCTGTGTTTGGTGGTACTTTAACACCTTCAGAATAACTCATACCACATTGGTCAATGATTAGAGACAAGACAAACAGTCTCCTGACCCTCCAAGTTGGGGGTTGGAGTAGGGGTGGCTCCTTGTTCCTTAGAACGGACTGCTTGTAGACCACCGCAAGACCCGCTGCTTCACGGTCAGGTTTGTTGAACCAAAGGCTTTGGTTGACAACCCTAATCGTTCTCCTGTCTAGGCGTGGGCAACCTGACAGTAACCTGCTCACGCAATACAATGAGGAACTCTCCACATGGTTTCTTGATGCTCTGACTGCCGAAAAGGATAAACGACAGCGCCCTATTTTCCGCATCATGTAGGGTGGATATGGCTTTGAATGCTACTGCTCAAGCCTTCCTTTCTTCTTATTCGTCCTCGTTTGCCTCTTAACCCTTATCATCCCTTTCCAACTGCACTTTTACCCCCCCCCCGGTTCTTAACCTCCCAATTCTTGGCCCTCCTTCGCCTTGCTTTGATAAGTGTTCATCTTCTAATTGCAACTCACATGCAAACGCGGAGCGTCACTCCAGCCCTGCCGCCAAGCCCATGTCAAACTAAGCGGTCAAACCCAGCTCAGCAACTTCTATTTGGAACTATCGATCCTCCCTCAGATTGCCATGCCTCAATGTTCGCACACTTACAAATCGGTCAACCGGCAGCACTTACCCGAACATTAGAGACCCTCTCCATCGATATCTGCTGCTTATCTGAGACCCGAATGCAAGACTCGAGCTCTGTGCTCACTCTGCGATCCCCATCAGGTGAACCAGCAGCACTTTCGCATTGCGCCTATCCGGAGACGATGCTGCATCGACTGCCGGCCAAGCCGGTACTGGCGCTGCCTTGAGTCCCCGGGCTGATCCTGCTCTGGTTGAATGGATCCCAATCAGTAGCCGGATGTGCGTGGTCCGAGTGGCTGGCTCGTTCAAAGCTGCGAAGTCGCGCGTGACTAACAGGTATCTGTTCGTCATCGTTGCCCATGCGCCCACAAACTGTAGCGATGGCTCGGTAAAAAACGACTTCTATCTATAACTGAACGAGCTCTTTCGTCACAGAAGCACGGACATTAGTGCTGGCTAGGGATTTGAACGCTCGAGTTAGAAAATTGTTCAGTGATGAGCTGCGATTGGGCGGCCAACACATTGCAGGCTCCCGTAATGATAACGGTGAGCGGTTACTTCATTTGTGTGAAGATACTTATTTTTTGCGAGCACTAACTCCCGACACAACACCCGTCGGAAGGTGATATGGCGCACCCCAGCCATAGACCAGTCTTGGACTTAAACCGATCACATTGTGATCAGGTACTGCTGGATAAGCTATGTCCGAAAATGTTGTTCGATTTAAAGCACATATGTGAACAATGACTATGCACCTGTATGTGTTGATCTGCGGGTGCATTTTGGCGGACGTTCACGACACTACAAGCGCACTGACACCAGCCAACTGGCAAAGGCCGAGGTATTGAATGCGTAACGAAGTACGCTGGCAACCGGGCTGAGTAAGCGCTCACTGGTCGCATGTTCACCTGACTTTAATAGCGTCAACAAACTCCTTAGGTGATAAGTCTGATAACTAACATGGACATGGGGTCGTTTCGCGGTCTTAGAGCGTGGGGAGTTCTGGGTTGGTCACCTGGTTCGCCAATAAATATCACAAGAGCTAGTACGGCGCTGTGCCAAAGCCAATGTGACCGGCTATAGGATCAGTGACCACTCACTTTTGTAACCAGTGAGTACCTAAATGGAGGGCGGATGAACAATCTCATTGGCCACCGGCCTCTATGTGGACTGCTACCGAACGCTAAGAAAGTGTATGAGCCACAGGGTTGTCAACGGTCACGTAATCCGCGGTTGGTCAAACGTTTCAGAAGTGTTCTTGGATCTCTGTGTAATCACACGGGCAGTAGGGGTGCCCTGGGTAGTTTACTACTACTCGAAAGTCGTGTTACAGGCTCCCGACGGTTTGTGATATACGTTAAGCGCTCTGCTGCCCTGCAGGTCAGGGCTGCATAGCTCAAAGCTCCGGGCGGGGTCCCCTAAGTCAACCCACATCCTCTGCCTGGGCAACCGAGAGGCCACCTGCCTACACAATACAAGAACATGAACACGAACCTACGTAACTCTGCCTTTTATCTGCGCTCTCTGGTTTCGCTTTCCTCGGCCGAGGTGCTGGCGGCCAGCTCCGTTTAACCACGTTCAACCGCATAACCTTTTAGACGTTTTGTCCCACGTTTCATCCATTCTTGGTAAGGGCCGCGCTGAGACCCGCTTTTAGGACTCTAGCATAACCCTAAAGTTGGTGTTACCTTCTGCGTGTTCCCATGGTATGTCCACACTACGTTTATCCGGAGACGCAACTGTTGAAGCCAAGGGCTAGACCGGTGTGGGAATTGTGTTAAGCGCGCGCTACTTGACTGGATCCCAGTTAGTAGTCGACTCTGTGCGATTTGGCTAGAAAGCTCCGTACAACTGTTCAGCCGCCAGGCTACGAAACGCTGTTTGTCGTAGCGTCCCATGCTCTCAAGGATGGCAGCCCGGACCCAGCTAAAGATGAGTTCTACCGTCAACACTCCGATCCTCTCCATAAGAAACGCAGCGCGGATATCGTGGTGCTCGTTGAGGCCTTAAACACACATGTTGGCACGCACAAGTTTGACGAAGGTAACCTCGGTGGTCTGCATAGCTATGGTAAGGAGAATGACTTCTACAGCTCTGTGCTGTTCACGGTCCATTCCTTTCAAGCACAAACTTACGGCGCTCATGGCGCCAACGCGTCATCCGGCGACCTCCTTTGCCTGAACAGCCGTGGACGCCATCAGATACCGTTGGCGAGACTGTATAACGGACTGCGAATCAAATTGGAGCATTTATCTCAATTCTGATCGCGCACTTGTGTGTGCTAAAGTTGCCTACCGCATTGGAGGAACCCAAGGGCGTCGTAGATAACAGCTCGACGTAGCCAAACTTGTCGCTACAAATATTCTCAGTCTCAGAACTTTCCAGCTTC